TATGTTACAATGAGCATAGTTTGGGGTTTTTGCTATCACAAAAAAAAGTTTGGGATAAATGTGTCACAAGTGGCATAATTTGGGGTTTTTGATGGTATTAACCTAAAAAAAAAAAGACCCTTAAAGGACATGTACATGGACCATATTCATGATAATATATATGTACACATTTCTTTGGGAAAATTAGGTTGTATAACAGGGATTTTGTCTACAAGTATCGACATAGCTTAGAGAAAGCGTTGTTATATATATGGAGAATCATCAACATTATTTCACTTACATTTTTTGATGTATTAGAAGTTAAGTTATACGTTGTTCAACTCATTAAGATAGTTGACTCACTAAAAGAAAAGACCAGATCGTGCCCCATGTGTATTTAAAGACTAGGACCAAACGCGCAATAGGGTATATGGTACCACATCATGTGCTCCGCCTGACTGAAGTTTGACTTGGACGTATAGTATTCTATGTACTTCTTGCGCTCTACTTTTGAAATCCGGAGATGATGCCCATACGCAACAAGTTGTTTTTAATTGAAGAAGGTGACTAGTTCATCTTTAGCGAAAATTTTTAATCCTACACTGAGATTTTTCTTTCATGTTTTGGTATATAAAGTCTTCTCCTTGGTTAGGAGTGGATGATGACTTGAATATTCTAATTAAATTTAGTGGTCTCACAAAATTTCGTCTCGTTTTAATTTTCTAAACTTGGTTTTTTCTTTACCGTAAGTTATTGTCGTCTAAAGTTGTCACATACACATGATAAAAAGAAGAAATAATTGGAAACTATAACCTCTTACAAGAAAATAACGAAAATTTTCAATCATTTGGAATTGAACACGACAGAGAATCAAGTACACGCAGGCTTAATACATACATACATAGATTAGGGTTTGGAGCCAATTGTAGTATTGCAAGTCTAGGTTATCTTTCTGCCATGGAGTCCAACTGCATATAGGAGGGCTTCTTTATGAAGCTAATTGCAGAAGAAGGTTCAGATAGACAATCACATTCTTGCAAGCTAGAAAGCATAAGCGTTACGTAATGTGAATGGACGAGGGAGAGACCGAATCTCAGTTGTGTGAAGAAGCTGAAATTGGAATGTATATTATAAACGATATTCAAATGCTTGATCGGAATCGTTGACTAACTCGATTACAATAAGCTCAACTTGACTAGTGCAACCTTAGAATCCACCAAAAAGTCACCGAAATTTCGTGCGATTTGTTGAGGATGCAAATTAACCTAATTAATCTTCAATCCGGTGCAATTGGACCGCATGATATCTAAGCTTTTGTCTCCTTGTGCTACATTCTGAAATTGGTAACACGATTGGCTTGAAACCCATTTCTTAAACATAATCTTTTGAGAAAAAATAATAAGAGGGCAGATGAGATCAAATAAAAATTAATAAGGGTAATTCTCTTTTGAGATGTGAAATCTTTTAATCGCTGGACTAAGAATAAAACAATGGACGAATGATGCTTAGAAGCTGGGACAAGTAAGATGCATGTACAAAGCGTTGACCTTTTTGAGGTCTTCCATGCTGATCTAGTGTCACTTAATTAAAACCTGCCAATCATTTCTATAATGTATAGTTTTTTAATCGCGCGAATGTAGATGGCATGTGGCAATGCCGATTCATCACCGTTGAATTTGATCCCGTGCGAGTATTATAGAAGTAGACAAGTCGTCTTCATATATGTAGCATCACAACTATAATCCTCGAAGATGATGGCTTTCTTTTTCAACTTGGTACATTTTCTTCCTTAGTTTTCTTTCTGTGATATTAAATCAGGGAGATCGCATTCTACCTAAACTTGGACTATTCTTCAAGTGTATTTGGCGAAGGAAATGAAGTCTTTAAAATTCCTATTTCAATTCAACCCGCATTAATAATGTAGAGAAACGGTAAGGATGTGAAGACCGACCGATTCAAAAAATTGATGTATGGCTATCTGATGCACGAAATGCAGCAAGAGAAATTTTACAATAGGTGACTCATATTCAAACCCAATAAAAACCTGTAACATCACTTTGTAAGTCAATATATAACCATCTTTTATCTTTGTAGCAATTTTTCACTTAAGTATCGAGGAGCGCTTGATAATGATTTCACTCGCATATGGGATGGGGAAGATCATACTAGAGTAAAGCTAGAGATAATTCGTGATTATGACGTTATGTTGAAGGATTTTATCTAAACGAGTTCAGTTATAACTCAGAGGAGGTTTAACATGTTCATAAAGTCTATCTAGATGATGAGGAAACTGACAAGGAATCATAGGATGACTAGTTGCTGATAATGTCACTACTAATCTCGGTCTCTCTCTATCCTAATCATGAAATTTAATCGTAGTCATCCTTCCATATTTGATCAGCCAAACTGACCGGCTTGTGCGTGGCCAGTCCAAGTCGTGTTTTGCTCTGAAAACTTTTTTCCACGTTCTTCAGCAATTGTTGGCCCAAGCATGCATGACTGTTACGGAGGAGGCTGAGGATAGTTGCTCCTTTCCGAGAAAGTCGTGAATTTTGGCTGGAGTATGCTCATGTCCATGAAAAATATTCTTGTCCTAAAACCTAGTCTATTCTTAGGTTCCATGCGCTTTCATTCTTTTCACCAGCAGACATTGCTTAACGTTAATATGTTTCCAATCACCAAAACCATACAAGATTAGTCAACATTTCGACCATAAAGCATTCTTACTTAGGTTAAATTTAAGATTTCTCGAGGGCTACTGGTTCAATGGACGTACGGTAGCACCTATTCTTTTTTCCCGGTTGAAGGATCGAACTCGAAAGTTCATGCATTCAAGTGAACATGATTAACATGCACCCTTCAAACCACATAAACGATCAAGACCCTTTGGTCGCCTCCACCTACCTGCATTACGTAATTCTCGCAGTAGAAACTTCAATAGAAACCGTTCAATGGAAGAACATCGTGCTATGGCGACAACGCAAAGGGGATTTCGATAAGAATTGTTCAGCCGAAGAACAAGCTGGGTCTAAGAACTAGTGATATTTCTAAGGCCGTGATCAGCGGAAATCGGATCAATCCGTCAATATGTGCTATCCCTGTAGCTTGGCTAGGCTGGCTTATTCTGATGGACGTGGAATGGGAAAAGTTCAATTCCACGGAAATTATACGCAAAAATAGTCATATGCATGTCCGAAATATTCCAGATGAGACCCATTGATGACATTATCAAAATTGCCTCAGCATGAAAACATTGGAAAATCCAATGGGACCATTAGTGGAAAAAGAATTTATACACTTCTTTGAATGGCACAATACAGAAGTTGTCTAAAATAGCTTGTCAATTGAAATAGCTAGCATCCATTATCAGTCAATTTCTTTCTTTCTTTCTTTTTTATTGGTGCACATATAGCAGTCAATGTCAAATGTCTTATGATTGTCACAGCTACTAGAGTAATTCCTCCGTAGTGAAATTTCAAGGCAAGTTATTATTATTAAAATATTTAAATACCTTCCTTTAATACTTAAACTTATAGAGTATTGGGCTCTACTCCCACAAAATTTTTCCCGCTTGAACTTATGATAATCTATACCTCAAGACCGTAACAAATACCAGGTTATATATATCGTCGCACATGAATCGATTTTTGTTCATGAACAATTCTGCGCAAAGTTGCTTTCACATGTTTCGTACTTTTGAACAAAAACCATATGTTCCTGATCACATGTTAATTAGTATTTCAAAATGAACTATGATTAGACATATATATATATATATATATATATATGTCTAATCATACTATAGTTTTCACGTCGATTGGCGTCTTCATTTGTGTCATTCCCACATCTAGACATTAATCAGTTACTTATCTTTCTAAACTTACTAAACTAAATTTTTAAGTCTTTGTTACATATAAGCATGAGCAATGGATCACCCAATTCATCCGGCTCTTGGGGGAATTTTAAAGATAATATAAAGTTCCCTAAGTCTAAACAGACAATGCCCATATGAAGACCTTCACTCAATATACTTTATTGATTGATATAGAGTTAAAAATGATAAGTTAAATTCTGAAAAAAACAATAAATTATGTTCCTATAATGCCCGATGTCTTTGCCATGAAGGACGGGTCAGCATAACTGGATCGGAATGACTCTGCACCTGATCGGAGCTCGATCCATTTTTGTCCGAAAACACAGTTTTAATATGTAAGTCAATGCGAAGGTCGACAAAACTGAACAGCCACGTATTGAACCCTTGTTTGACCCTAATCAAATTATATTCCATGAAATCATACGCCCTACCCTTTCGGATTAAACTATGGTCTTGGATGGTGTTGCAATTATGGTCAGTTTCGGTCCCCGGAAGGCAAAATGTAGAACGGTGGAAGACCATGGACCACGGACCCCCAAAGAAAGAAAAAAGAAAAGTCTAAAGCACATAAATTTGAGAGGTTCTTTCGAATCCTAAACCCCTAAAATAGACATGTACGTCTATTCCTATGGACAAATCAATGTCCACCGTCTTCCTGGAACTTGACTCCGGACTATTAGCCCGATGAAGCGCGTGGTGTGAGGAAAAATTAACGGGATAATTGATTTCGAATGGATTAAGAAAAACGCGTACTGATCCTTTTATTTTCTCTTGCTCTGGTGTCGTATGAGAACCAATTAACTTGTCTCATGCACGGCATTTACAAGGGAAATTTGACAGCCGGAAAAGATAATATTGTTGTTAGAGAGGGGGGAAATACAATGTTGAAAAAGAAAGAGAAGACTTATGACTTTTGCGATGTAAGAAACTTCAACGATGTTGTCTCAGCATTAGGTGGGGTCCGATCTTTGCGGCTGGAAAAGCTCTCTCTCTCTCTCTCTCTCTCTCTCTCTGACATGTTATCTCAACATTGAAGTTGAATTCTTCCACTTGTTTACAATAATAACCAAAAATATAAACAAGATTATTATAACCCAGTAGTATTTCTTTGAGTATAATTGGACGGGAGTTGTTGACATTTCTGTGTGTATTTTGTGTGTGCGTGGGGTGCGTATCGATGATGCAAAAGGGCGAGAGTTGAAACTCTTCTTTTCTCTTTTCTGGGCTTGTAGTCAAATACTGCAGGCCTTATATATACACAAAGAGGAAGGGGGGGCGTGCTGTATCTGGTATGCTCTTATTGATTTTATAGTCAAACCCTAGAAAGGAAAAAACAGAAGAAGGAGAAGAAGAAGAAGAAGAAGAAGAAGAAGAAGAAGAAGATAGAACGAGCAGGTATGGAGGATGGTTTTGAAAGATCTGGTCATGGAGCTGTTGATGTTGTCAAGGAAGAGAAGAGAGTCGATGATGAAAATTCTGATCAACATGATGATGGTGGAGAGTGTAGCAGAGAAGTAGCGCTTGCTCAAGCGGTATGAAATCATATCCCTTCCTCTAACTCTATTCCTTCAATTTAATTACAACAAACATTCCTAGGTTTTACTGCCTACAATCTGAATTTCTTTCCTGAATCTCATTGAATGCTTGTGTATTTTGTAAAAATAATACTAATTTTTTTCCGTTCATAGCCAAAAGAGTTGACTCTTTTAAGTACTTCATCTCTTAATTTCAAGTAAAGTGAATCGCTTTCCGTGAATTAATTCTTTTAAGTACTTGATCTCTTTCAAGTAAATTGAATCGCTTCTTCTTCTTTTTTATGTCTTGGCTTCAAGAATGAACCACCAACTATCCGGTCTTGGAGATCTTGTGTTTCGTTCTTTTGTATCCTTCACCTGTTTTTAATTTTCATCTTTAGGTTAAAAATAGAATGACACCAAAAGAAAGCGAAAATTCAAAGTCGTCTTCTCCGGAGCGGATGATCTCGACCGCGAGAAGAAAGGTATGTAAATAACTAGAATTCTGCACCATGCCCATTATCTGGATGTTACCCAATTAAGTTTACATGTAAAGAAGTATCTTCTCAATATTTGAGTACAAGTATAGATCTCAACAGTGTAAGTGCAAGCACGTACTTTATAAAGATATTGCAAATTCAAGACATGCAGCTCTGTACTTCCAGAAGTGAAGTATATTCTCGATTACCTTTAAGGATTTAGTTACGTATTCCTATTATTCGTTTTTTTAGTCCCCCTATGTGAGTTTAGCTGACAATTAAATAAAGTTCGACTGATTTAATCTGGAAACTTTTTTCTCGTATAATCCATAACCATAAAACATTGTATGAGATAAATTATGCCACAAATAGATGGGATTGATGAAAAACGCAAATGGAAATTGAATAGGGTAGATGCAGACATCTTTATCTTATATGTTGAGCGACAGAAAATAAGAAGGAATTTAATGCATGATATTTCTGGGTCCAAAATGTGCTGCAGATATTTCATGGTTCAAGATAAATTAAGCACAAAAGGATGGGTTTGATGAAAAACGCCAACGGAAATTGAATAGGGTAGATGCAGACATCCTTACCTTATATGTTGAGCGACAGAAAATAAGACAAAATTTAATGCGTGATATTTCATGGTTCAAAATGTGCTGCAGAGATCATTGACTTGGATCCGAATGTGTTGAAGATTCGGTCAATATCATTGATCAGTTAATGCTGACCATAATTGCCTGCTAAGAACGACGGCTGATGACTTTGATCGCAAGTTGATTCCCTTCACCCCTAATACAAACAAAATGCTCCACAACTTTCTAGCAAAAAAAAAAAAAATGCTCCACAACTAGATTGCACATTGGACACCACGAAACGTTGATACAATGTCGGTCAACAATTTCCTATCGAACTATAGCTGATTGCTAATTTTTTTGTGGTTACTGGATATTATTATCACCCTATATTCAATTTACTCCTCATCGTTCATTACTTATCATCTTTTTTCATTTTCTTGTTGCAGGAAGATCAACATCAGCTTGAATCTGCCAGAGCTGAAATGAGTCAAGCAAGAGAGGAGAACCTGAAACTCAAGATGTATTTGAATCAAATAACGAGAGAATACCGGACCCTCCAAATGAAATTCTTCGATGCCGTCAAGCAAGAAGATGACAATAAGAAATCGGCCGAAGCCGCCGCCAAGGGGAGTTGCCGAGAGATCGATCAGGAATCCGACGAATTTGTATCACTCAGCCTCGGAAGGACGATGAGCGATTCGAAGAAGTTATCATTAGAGGATAAGAGTAAATCACTAAGCCAAGTGACGGAGAATACTAATGATCATAAGTTTGAAGAAGGGTTGGGCCTCGGATTGGATTACAAGTTCGAAGTGTCGAAATCGGGAACGACGGAATCGTTGCCGAACCCGAGCCCGGACACGAGCGTCGAAGAAGCAAAGGAGGAAGCAGGAGAGACATGGCCACCAAGTAAAGTCCTAAAGAAGATGAGAGCCGGTGGTGATGATGATGTCTCCCAGCAAAATCCTGTGAAAAAAGCTAGGGTTTCTGTGAGAGCCAGATGTGACACTCCAACGGTTAGTGTCATTGTAAAAAATTCATCTCAAGTAAATAGGAGGAGAAAGAGAAGATAATCAATTTATCTTGTTGAGTGTGTAACATCTCTTTTCTAAAGTCATTATTTAGCAACCTATTGATAGAAAAGCTTCTTAACCAAAATATATTTGCAGATGAACGATGGATGTCAATGGAGAAAATATGGGCAAAAGATCGCAAAAGGAAATCCATGTCCTCGAGCATATTATCGTTGCACTGTTGCGCCATCCTGCCCGGTGAGAAAACAGGTATATGTCAATTCTTCAACTAGCTAGCCATATTGAATGTAATGAGATATTTTTCGCTCAATGATTCCAAATAAATTCATGTAAATTGTCCCTTTTGATAGTACTAATATACCATAATTAACCTCACTCGATTGCGAATTTATACATTAGATAAACAACTTACATGAATCTAACGCTTAATGGTCACTTTACTAAGTTAAAAAGTCTTAATGTACCTAAAAGCAAAAATGCACGAGCATATATATGACTACAATGTTATGAGATATCGTGCATGCCTTGTATTACAGTAGGCCAACCTAAATTAAGTTATATGAATCCACCGCTTAATGGTCGCTTTACTAAGTTAAAAAGTCTTAATGTACCTAAAAGCAAAAATGCACGAGCATATATATGACTCCAATGTTATGAGATATCGTGCATGCCTTGTATTACAGTAGGCCAACCTAAATTAAGACGTGATTAAAGGAACTTGCATCATATTTAATTGCTGTGCTTTACACGACCTTACCCAAATAACTCTCTCACATCAAATTTAATACAACTAGATTCATCTCTCTCTCTCTAGTGTCTCTCTTTGGAAATTACTGAGCAAGAAGATGGATTTAAACCTAGCTATAATCTATCAAGATCATTTCATAATCTATAACGATGCATAATCTATTATCTTTCCCATTCTTTCAATCATTTTTTTTAACTCCATTTAACTAAAATTATGGCCTAATCATGTAGGTTCAAAGATGCGCCGAGGACATGTCCATCTTGATCACCACCTACGAGGGCATGCACAACCACCCGCTTCCTATGTCGGCGACTGCCATGGCCTCCACCACCTCCGCGGCCGCCCACATGCTTCTATCTGGCTCGTCGAGCTCTCAAAACGGCAGCAGTCACAGCTCATCGGGCCCCACCATGGCACCGATGGCTGCCAATCTCCAAGGCCTAAGCTTTTACCCTTCGGAAGCTTCGAAAGCAAGATCGCCATTCTATTTGCCTACCACATCATTTGCATCCTCATCGACACCAACCATCACTCTTGATCTCACCTCAAACCCATCATCATCTTCCTCATCATCCTCTCTGTTCAATAGGTTTCCTTCACAATACCCTTCGACAAGGTTTGCTTCCACAAGCCTAAGCTTTAACAATTCCTTGGACCCTAGTGCCCTTCCCTTACCTTGGGGGTCCTCAAATGGTGGCCTCATGAACTATAATAACACCTCTCAACTCTTCAACAAGAACCAAACCCTAGACCTTGCAAGGCAGGCTCAAGAAAGTTACCATCAGTCCTACTTGCAAAAGAACATGTCAAGCCTTCCCCAACAAGTGCTACCGGATTCCATTGCCGCTGCCACAAAGGCGATCACCGCCGACCCAAGCTTCCAATCTGCTTTGGCGGCAGCTCTTAAGTCAATCATCGGTGACAGCGGCGGGGGAAACGGTAACCAAGGAGGTGTTGATCATTTCAGAAATTAGAAGGTGGGATCACTACTTGAGCCTTTAGCATTTTGAAGAGGACATTTGAATGCTCCGTGGCTTGCAACTTTTGAAGCTGCTTCTCAGTTCTCAACTCTTTGCCGTGGATTTTGTATACCTGCAAGAACATATCGATCCGCATATCCTGTTGATAAAAAAAAAACTTTGGTGATTTCTCGAACTCAAAATTTTGATTGTTGTGCGCAGTTCAACATATAAATAACAATGTTTAAAATGTTTTTAAGTGCTTATGTCTTACGTGGACCATGGAGTGATCTATCTGTATGATCAAATTTCTATCTACTTTGTCTTATAGATTCAGGCTATCCAGCTTGCATTGTGCCTAATTTGCAATCTATATATTGTCCTGCATGATCTATAAAAAGAGTTCATACACGAACAAAAAAATCATTTTCCCCCATCAATCATGACATGCATGAAGCTAGAGGAAGTTTACCAATACATTTGCAGTCTATATTATTTGCTCCCCTAAAGTCAATGCTTGATATATGCATGTTGTTGACCAAACCACAGCCCAGCCTAGCTCACATAGCTTAGGAAAACTGCAAAGTTCACAAAACGTAATGTTAGTATATTAAGGTTGGTTTACAAATCAGTATAAGAAAATGATATGATAGATCATAAGCGAATAATTATAGATATAATTCATATTCGACACCCAATAAGAGTGTATCGTGTTATATATTAGCATATAAGCTTTGTGAATTGGTTTTAATATACCGGGCACGATTCTTTATCGATTGATTTACTACGTGTGTCCTTAGAGAAGAGCATGCCCTTGGAAAATTGTCATGTGACGGGAAAAGTGTCAAAAAAGTCTTAAACCTTTTGCATTAGTGCTAATTTAGTCCTAAACCGTTTTTTGGTGCCAATTGAATTCTAAACCTTTTTTTGGTGCCAATTCAGTCCTAAACCTTTTGCATTTGTGCCAATTCAATCATAAATCTTTTGCATTGGTGCCAATTTAGTCCTAAACCTTTTTTTGGTGCCAATTCGGTCTAAAACCTTTTGTATTGATGCAAATTCAGTCCTAAACCTTTTGCATTTGTACTAATTCAGTCCTTCGACACGTGAATAGCTATTAGCTGGAAGGACTGAATTGGCACCAAAGCAAAAGGTTTAGGATTGAATTGACACCAATGCAAAAGGTTTTGGACTGAATTAGCACCAAAAAAAGGTTTAGGACTGAATTGGCACAAATGCAAAAGGTTTAAGACTGAATTGGCACCAATGCAAAAGGTTTAGGACTGAATTGGCATAAAAAAAGGTTTAGGGCTAAATTGGCACCAATGTAAAAGGTTAAGGACTTTTTTGACACTTTTCTCTCATACGACACTCAAGAGGTTTGCTCATCCAATTATATCATAGACTTTCTATAATGTTAATGCATTGATTATGAAGACATCATAGGCATGCTCACCTAATTAACAGCTGATGTTAGGAGGAAAACAGATTAATCAAACCATCTTTTATATCCCTTGATTATTGCTAGATTTGATGGAACTGCACAGCTAAGCAGCCATTGATACTTTTCTACGAACTTGTAATTTTAACACCGGCGGAGAAAGTTGCGGTCAAGACGTGTGGGAGAGTAATAAGATAAGCTGAAGGTTTGATTTTAAGATTAGCCACTCGCCTAGGAATAATATGTATATTCTTGTTATTACAGCTATTTGGGTTTTAATGTTCGTTTGGTTGAGAAGTCAATTTCAAAGATCTTATATTGGAAAATAGAAAAAGGGATTAGAGAAGAACAGGGCTAATTCCCAAAAAAAGAAAAGAAAAAAGAACCAATTTTAACTTGAGTGACAATTTTGGCATGAACTTTTTTTGTCTTAATAAAAGGAATAAATTTTACTGTAGTCCCAAATCTGGCCCCAGTGATGTGAAATTTTCAAATTGTTCGGATTAGATTTGGGATTTAAGTGAAAGTTGGAGATTTTTATGAAACAAAAAAAAGTTCAGTATAGAATTGTCACTCAAGATAAAGTTGGTGCGTTTTTTTGGAATTAAGTCGAGAAGAAAATGCATATGCATTCACTGGTCTTCATACATTTACTAATTATAATAGTTATCCTAATAATTGTCGCGTGGAGTCTCGCAACAACGAATCTAATGATTTATGTGAACATTCAATTCTCATTAATCACTAGTCATTTTGTAATTTCACGTCCTCATTCATCGCATTAATGCGAACATACAATATGAACATGGGTCAGTGAGAAAGTGTGGTGAGAATTTAGAAGGTTCTATGTAAGAAGACAACGAGCATGTCAATAAGGAGAAAACTGCACGTGATAACTCACATGGCTTGTCGGCTTATGATGTCCAAATAGAAATCACCCTGTCCTTATAGAAAAGTAATGCCTTTTCACATAATTTTCATGTGATGAGGACCCCAGTTAACTCACATGCCCTTTGATTTTGTCTTCTTCGTTTGGTATAAACTTGAAAGTAATATGTGGGTCGGAAAAACCGTCCAAAATATCCTGAACATATTATACCGCATTTAATTCGGTATTGACATTTTTAATTCGGCCACTTTAGACCAAAGCCTTTGTTATGATTTTTCAATGTACTCATTCCAACTAATTTTGGTCAAAAATCGATAATGTGGCAGCCTATTCAATATTAGTAGTCTTATGTGGTATAACTGATGTTGACATTGACGATTTTTTGCAATTTTTTTTAATCAAATTGTATAATTTTTTCTTTTTTTTTTTCTTATTTCCCTCCCTTCATCATTGACCACAAGCGAGGGCTGCAACGGCCTCTCGTTGCTTAGATCTAGCAAGGGTAAGCCAGGGCATCTTGGCCATTGCCTATGGCCAGCAATCTCCGCCGACCATTGCTGAGGCCCCGGCGACCAGGGAGGGAAATAAACAAACAAGAAAAACATTTAGGAAATCTCATAAAAAATAAAAAAAATCATCCACATCAAAGTCAACTATATTGTGTAAGACAATCGACTAACTAGACTGCAAAGTCAATGATTTTGGCCAAAATTAATCAGAAGGATTATATTGAAAAATTGTCAAATGGCTCGGGATTAAATTGACCAAATTGAAAAGTTTATGACTGAAGTAATCATCATATGATAGGTTTAAGACTTTTTGGACAATTCTTCTTATAAGGGTTTTGCTTGTGCATATTCAAATTTTGTCCCATTAATTTAACTAGACGATATGTTTATAAGCGATAATTTTGTAAACCACATATTAAAAATTCTTCGGATGAAATGACTTATGCAAGCTCTTAAGAAAATTCGTCAGATTATTTTTCGTAGCGGCTTGATCTTCTGAGTAAATCCATTCAATTTATGTTCTTTAATTGGAGCGATCACTAGCATTTCTATGGATCAAGTGATAGCCCTAGACCGATACGAGTCACGCCGGAGTAGATGACAACGAGATTGTTGACCTAAATAAGGCAAAAAGTCGAGTCAAATCTTTGACCTGAACGCATTATCGTATGTGCGAATTTCAGCAAATAAAGCGAGATTAAGAAACAGACCAAAAAAAAAGCAAGATTAAGAAGAAAAAAAAGCAAGATTAAGGGTAATGATATCATATTGTAAATCTTTTCCAGGGAAACGATACCTACCATGGGCAACATTAGTGTAAATTATCCGGTGGAGGCACCGGCTGATGTACCGAAAAATGAAGTCATTTGTACATTTTCAGCGGAACAAACGGACCCTAATTAATCACATGTAGTCTCATTAATTTACTCTAATATTTACGGTTAGCGATATCATATTGTAAATTCATTCAAATGTCTCACTCATTATCGAATCAACACAACGTGGATAATTTACATGCATCGAACATGATTACATCCTGTAGAGAAGGATGCAATACAATGATCAAGAAACATTCTGTGAAGCTATACAATCGAGCCAAAAAGTCCAAAGTTGGACAAACTTTACAGGATGCTGAACTTGCAGTGCTTTAGTACCCTATCGAAGAAGCACAACTCTACTTGGTGGATAGGCAGCAGTTAGTTGATTGGGGTCGAGCACGATCCCATGAACTGGACCTGCGTGACGCAAGAAACCACGACGCGTATTCGCTGCTGAAGTTGCTGGTAGTCGAACGGATGAAGGAATAGGCGTTTCTGAAGAGTGTCCAGACATACAAAGACCACCAGAATCATCTTGCTCCCAATACACCTCAACCATGACGCCTCTAGGATTCTCAGCAGACTCCGTTCCAGGGACCCCCACAAATCGAGCTCCCACTGGGATCTGAACCAAATTGCAGTATAAGAACAAACAAGGTTTTGTCAAGCTGATGAACTTTCTAGTCAGTTTTCTACAAGTTGTTCGGAACTTTAACAGGCAGGCTAATACAGTCTTCTAGCACGAATGACATTTGGGAGTGACTTTATTAACGCCGTAGCCTATATTGTGCGGGATTTTCCTTGTGGTTAGTTTCTCACCTGGACAGAGGTTTCAGATGTCAAAGTTAGTGTCGCCAAGAGCCGTTCGGCTGCAGCATTTTGTAGCTCTGCCTGCTTTGCAATATTCAGGAAAACTTCCTCATGAGTCGTCAAAGCAAGCTGGATATCTGCTATGCCAAACAGGGATCTGCTATGCCAAACTCTCCCTGTTTATCTTGGAGCTCCGCAAAAAATTTCTATTGAAAGCATATAAGCCGTGTCAGAAAAAGCGAAAAAGGAGTATCATAAGGAAAATTAATAGCGTGCAACAATCTAGATATCTCCATAGAGAAGTTCTTCGCCAAAAGTAATGTCACTAGCATTTCAAAGATTGGTTCTATCTATATGGCAGTGATAGATTATTCATGAAGATACAAAAGCTAACAGTTCACACTTGAATGAATTTCTGCCCTCCCATGACAATCTTGGCCATTTAATTGCCATTTTCAACCAAAAAAAAAAAAAACAGAGATCTGGTGCAACTGGCAAACGATTCTCTTGATTAAGGATGAGGAAACTCTTGACACTGACAGTGCTTCATAAGAAGGGTGTAAACTTCAGACATAGGAGCATTTAACAAAGGAGCATTTCTTTTAACCAAAAAAAAAAAAACAAAGGAGCATTTCTAACTTTTCGGCAACAATGCAATATCCATGCATATGTCTAACGAGATAGAAGTTACTGTTGGGATTTTAGTATCCAAAATCCATAAATTGTGAATGAGAAGTGTGGATGGAAATAGTCCCACATTGGATAGAAGTTGTGATGGGAGATGGTTTATTT